AGGGGACCCCGGACCCACCTCCATTCGAACGATGTGGTCCGGCAGGACGGTCCCCGTCGTAGCCGCTGCCACTAAGAAGACAGGTAAGTCCCGTGTTGTCAGGGGGGCTGGGGGGCCGCGACCACCCGTAGCGGTCCTTCCAGGCTTCCCGCCCTGAACAGGACAGGTCGCCCGGTCGGCGGAGCTGGGTCCGGGCCGAGCGACCCTGCCAGCCACCACCCCGGCGGAAGCAAGCCCTGGTCGCCCCCAGCCAACACAGGCGGAGGGCGGAACGCAGACGGAACCCCCAATGTCCCCTGAGGTACCGGTCCAACCGTGGCATGGCCAGCGGAGGGTTCTGCCGGCCGGGTCTCGGATGAGTCTTCCGGACGGGACCTCGCTGTGACTGGAGACAGCCGGCGCCCTCCACCCGAGCAACACCACCAGGGAGGCCGCCACGCACATGCTGGAACCCCTGTGCGAGCATGCGCGGGACGAATGGTGGCTAGTCCATGGAGCAGACGAGGTCGGCCACCGGCTGATGCGGACACGGGTGGTCCACACCTATGAAGTGCCTGGGCGTCTCCTGCAGACGTACCAGGGACAGCAGTACGGCCAGCACTTCGTAGATCCCTCCGTGTCCGCTCAACCTTCACTGGGAGGAATGCTGCCCCCTGGAGTGCCTCCGCGCCCGCGCTACCCCGATGGCGTCCCCCGAGAGTTCTGGGAGCAGCTGTTCCGGCAAACGGAGTTCCAGCGCCGGCCGCCACCCACCAACTAAACCTTAGACTTGTTGTTTGATTTCTTGTTCTTTCCTTGCATTTTTTTTTTTGGTTGTTTTGAATGCCGTAGTAATGTTGTTGTGTCATGCGCCTCCGGGCCGGGTCTTCCTGGTTGTCCGGTTGCGGATGCCGGCGCCCTGTGTGGGACAAACAAGTTCCTCGAAGGGGGCGGTGTGGCGTCCGTGCCGGTCGGCCGCCAGAGGCCACCAGCGCAGTTCCACGGTGGAGCCGCGCAGTGGAGCCCCTGGTAGCCAGCCGGGGAGGTCCGTTCTTCCGGGCAGCGCATGCGCAGGAGTATTGTTGTGGCCTCGTTGCTGAAGAGAATAGTTGTGTTTTGTGGTGTACTTTGAGGAATATACAGCCTAGAGCCAGCAGAAACAAGTATACCTGTGTTGGAGTCCTTTTTGAGTGCGTTACATTACAATTATTTTGATGCTGCATAAAGGACGATACATAATTTTTTACAAAAACAAAATCAACGTAGGCATATGTGTGGGCTAGGAATTCTTAAAGCTGTAGTTCATCATTTTCAGCCATCCGAAAAAGTAACTGGCGTATTATTGTTGAAAAACATACTTGGTTGAAAGATACTCAGTGGACTAAACTCTCTGTGAAATTAATCTTTCTGGCCAGTAATCATTTTGAAGTAATCGACGAAAGAAGGCCTTTCCAACGGTGCGTCTTAAGACGCACCGTAGGACAATTTCAATTAGTAGTTCGTTTTGTTATTCGGCGCAGCGCGCGCAAGCATTGGCACGACGCACAGGCGCACGCGGTTGCTATAATTCGTCGGATCAGTGCGCGACATCGCGTATAGCTGCAATTCAAAACAATTCAAAACATGATTCAGCAACTTTTGGTGTCGAACAGGCTGCAGTATACAAATATAACATGGTTTGAGGGTGGACAATCGATATTCGCTCCAAGAGGTATTGGAAGTTGACAGCCGAGGGAACTAGTTTGTCAACTTCCAATACTGAGGGGAGCTAATATCGGCTGTCCACCCGAAATAAACTATGTTATATTTGTTTTACTATACCTCATACATATTTAGCGACGATTTGTTTTTTTTTCCATTTCATAAAGGAACCTCAAACAATATTTTTTTTTAAAAACTTGTCAAGTTCACCAAAAGAATCGTGTTGCTCAACTTCACTAGTTCAATAATGAAAGGTTTGCGGAAACACCATGTGTGCATAATTTCTCAACTAAGAGAATGGTTCTGAAAAGAGAAAACGGTCAGAGAATACTGACCAGAACGTCGAGTTTATATCTCTGGTTCTTTTCAGAACCATTCTCTTTATAGTTGAGAAATTATGCACACATGGTGTTTCCGCAAACCTTTCATTATTTAGTATCTCCACCATGCAAAGCCTCAAATCTTACTTCACTAGTTCAGTTCGTTTACCATACAGTGCAGATGTAAATACTATGAAGCCCGGGAATTTTTTTTTGAAATTTCCTAATTCGTTCGCACGAATTACTAATTCGTTCGCACGAATTGCTAATTCGTTCGCAGGAATTGCTAATTCGTTCGCACGAATTGCTAATTCGTTCGCAGGAATTGCTAATATATTCGCACGAATTCCTATTTCGTTCGCACGAATTCCTAATTCGTTCGCACGAATTGCTATTTCGTTCGCACGAATTACTATTTCGTGGGAACGAATTTGAAATTCTTTCGAACGAATTAGTAATATGTTCCCCTGAATTAGTAATTCGTTCGCACGAATTAGTAATTCGTTAGCACGAATTAGTAATTCGTTCGCACGAATTCCTATTCGTAATTCGTGGGAACGAATTAGTAATTCGTGCGAACGAATTACTAATTCGTTCCCACGAATTACTTATTCGTTCGCACCAATTAGTAATTCGTTCGAGCGAATTACTAATTTGTGTAAACGAATTACTAATTCGCGCGAACGAATTAGCAATTCGTGCGAATGAATTAGTAATTCGTGCGAACGAATTAGCAAACTCCAAAAAAAAAATTTCCACCCTGTCCCTTCCCGGGCTACATAAAATACAGTAGTTAAACCCCTATGTATATATTCTTTGTACAATTTTTTAGGAGGCATCTTTATTGCCATAAATATTCTCTAGTTTGGCATCATTGAGCTCGGGAAACTGTCGCATATGGGTTTAAACCCATGCGACAGTCTACTACGCGTACGTATTCACCCTGTGCGTGAATCCTCGAGCGTGCGATTGGTGAACAGCAAAAATAACATCTGGCACGTGATGGTGAATTGACCAGTGAGAGTTCGGCTATCGATCATGAATATGTATGAGGTATAGTAATACACATTGACATCGACAGTTTTACGCATATCCTGGAAGTACGCAGTGCAAACTTCAGATTGGCCCGACGCAGACCGCGCAAGGTAATGTGCGGTCCTTCTCTGAGTATTCATTGCACTCGGCGCAGGGGCGGCAAGCGAAGCATAGGAAAGAATAGGGGCACTTGGTGGCACGTACGCACCATGGAGAAAAAAATATTTTGCCAAGGTCACCCCAGACTACCGTTATAGATGATATACAAATAATAAATGTTTGTGAGTGCAATGGTAAGAATAATTTCATTCGGTGACAGATGAAATGTTCCATTCCACGAGGCGAAGCCGAGTAGAATGGAACATTCACCGAATGAAATGATTCTTTCCACTGCACGAACGTGAAACATTCATTATTTGTTTTATATATCACCTGAATAAATCCTTGTCATCTGATTGGTTGACTTCTAAAAAGCCAATTTATTCAGGTTAAAAACTGTTTAAAAGTTCGACAAGTTCATTATATTTATATAAATGCAAACTGTTCGACAGGTTAAGAAAAATCAGATTCAATTTATCTCGATTTAAAACAGCGCCACCACCAGCAGAAGTGACACCGTGCAATGGAAGTTATATTCACAGTGCAATAGAACTTCCATTGCACTGTGCGCTGCGCGCCACGCGCGCGCCGTGCGTTGGTACAAATAATTCAATGACGTGATCAACGATCCACCAATCAGATGACTGGGATTTATTCAGGTGTTGTATAAACACTTTTGTAGAACGGCCAAGTAGAACACATAAACGGAACCCCTACGTTGAAGCCGCTGACCACGCACAAACATGACTCAAAGAAAAGCATAAGGGGCGGCCAGGCATTCAGTTATGAAAGCGCTCACGACGGCAAATTCCTGTGCAAAACGCAGTCACGAAAAATTGACAAAACGGATCGCCGGTTCGTACGGGAAAATTAAGACGACCCGAAATGTCCGACCCGGCGGAAGACACCCTCTGCATTTTTCGACGGACGTGGAGCGATTTTGGCGCCGCAGGAGCCCGCGGTCTCGGATCAGGAGCAAAAATTTCTTGGAGGCCGAGTTAAACTTGCTCTTATACTTATAGATAAAATGATCGTCTTATAAAACTCATCTGCATGCTGAGATGGAGTTATTGTTTTATTGTCTTGTTGAAAGTCTGGCAATAGTCTGTTGGTGATAGGAACGAAGGATGAGTAGGTTGGATGTTACTTGGCATATTTGATGGGCTGTGGCCTAAGCTTATTGCCTTTGACAAAGATCCTACTAGAAATAACATGTTTGGCCCTCCGACTTGTGTGATTTGAGAATATATATTTCGAAATACATTTGGGTTTGTGAAGACCAATTACTCTGTCTCAAAGGGGGGATCATCAGTTGACACTAGGAGTAGAACTGTCCACGCTACAAACATGTCAACTTACATGCAATTCAGGCATCGTCCACTTGTGTTCATGGGCTTACAAGCTCAGAATGTTTGAAATCTCTATCTTTATTTGTTGTTGTCCTATTGGCTTTTAAGGAAGAAGAATAGGAGTCTTGAAGTGCTGATTTAGGAAAACTACATCTTTAATTAGCCTTCAAATGGCAACATGTGGGCTAATGCTTTTAAATGCGGATGCTTGACCATTCTGAAATCTAAAATATTAATTGCTTGGTATTTTGTCTTGGCACTGAAATTTTTTACCTTTTGGTGCACAGATATTTTGGTTTGGATGCACAGATTGTAATGTTTCTTGGGTGGTCGCTAACAACTGCCCTTGCACCAAAGGCTTAACCGAGGTTGCAGCCAAAATGCCATTCTTGTGGCTGGATTCCTAGTCTGTGGAAATTACTTGTTTTTTGTTACAATCAGCTTCATAAACTTTGTCTACTGTGCCATTAACACTGGCAAAGGATTCATAGTTTTATATTTTGGTTTATCAATTTAGTCGCACATCTGGGCCCACGTCTGGCAGTCGATTCAATGAAGGCCTGACTACAATCACCTACCAAGCCAGAGATGGAGCTGGGAATGTTGCTTATTGTTACATCAGGATCACTGTTAATGGTATGCCAATAACCACTCAGTCAGTTAGTAATTCGTGAATATGTACTGCTTTTTACCAATGATCTCCAAGTGCTTATTCCCTCTATTCACCAGCCAATGAGATCAGTTTTCGGCAGTGTACTTATTTCAGTGCAACCTATTCTCTGCACTTTAGGTACGTTATGTGGAGAGAGATATGTCTTGTCCAAGAATACAAAGACGATTCATGAAATTCTATTTGTAGATACAGCTATGAAAAGACTCAAAATTCAGAACTTGGATTCAGATTCGGGAGGTTTGTGGAGACCGTTTGTCTGTTAAATATGACATGAGTAATAAACATTATTTTTTAACCTACAGTGCTGCGATGTCCAAGTGTTGGATCAAGCAGTCATAGGTCACATAGCTGCTCCAAAACCAACAGAGCTGGCTCAGTCTGCACCTTCCACTGCTCGACTGGATACAACTTGGTTGGGTCATCCGCTGTCAGTTGTCGGACCAACCGTGTCTGGAATAGGGGATTTCCAACATGTCAAGGTAAAGAAATAGAACCTGGATAAATTCTTTTAAAAAGCCATCTTTATGACAACTGAAGGAAATGTTGTCATCAGCAAGCATTTGAGATTACATTTTCAGGTCAGCATGTCATCTGAAATTCCCAGTTCAGTAATTTGCTGAGATCCTGAGCTCAACATCATGTCAGGATCCCAGAAGAATCACACAGGTAGTGGACTAGTCCAGAAAATTTGGACTCAATACTGTGTATGAGTGTCCCAAAATTTAACGTAAAACATGGAACAAGAAAATAGACTGGCACTTGAAACAAAAAGTCAAACACCCATTTGGTATTGCATCAGTCAACTGTGTCAAAAGAAAGATATGGTACTTAGTTTTGATTTCTACACATCTCTAGATGGTGGTGCCACCAGACCACTGAATGGTCAAGCTTTTCAAACAGTTGGACATGCACTGGTCCAGTTTTACGCTTCAAAACAAAATTGCTTTGCTTCACCCTCAGGTGCAAAATTTTGAAGAAAAGTCTCCTTTAAAAATTGAATGCAGACTTCAAAATTGGCTGGTGAAATTGACTGAGGACAATTAACTTTGCCCCCAGACAATTTTGAGAATTTTGTCCACTAAAGAATGAATAAAGTTAGCTTGAATTTGCTCTGCATGTTTCTCAGCATTCTAGGTCCCAGTCTGGTGGTGGACCCAGGATATTCCAAAATTAGGGTGACTAGTTGGAATGCAAGGCCAATGAACCAAGATTAACACACTTGCGTGATTCAGTGAGCTTTAATAAGGAAATTGTTGATTTTTCCATTATGTGAATACAGTAGAACATCACCATAATCATAGAGAAATGACATGATGGGGTCCACAAGAGAATGTTCCATGCGACCATTGGCATGATACTAAAAGTTTACAAAATTGAGTCCACATGTACATGTACTTGTATACATGCATTTCCTTCCATTCAATGGCAAATGAATCCAGAATGTCTATCATTCAAATTTGCATTCATTAACTCTCATTAACTGCCTGAAGATGAAGGAAACTTCCAGCAACGTAAATGAACAGTCATGTGACAAAAATGACCAACATAGCTGCTACCGCCTGGTTGCAATGTGCACGGACAGCCCACTCCACATACACACACCAGCAGCATCTTTTCCAAAAATCATGGTGCTCTTTCGTTAATGATACGAGCAATAAAACTTCATTAACAAAATACCAGAAAATGCAAAACTTTAATGCACAAAAGGGGAGAATATATAATTGTCCTGAATTAACTCATTGAAATCTTCATTTTATATCATTGATGTTTATTTACATGTATAATTTTTATGTTTTGGCGAACAGTGAATTCATAGCCATCGTGGTGTTCCTCAAGGAACGAAACTCAGCCCCATTTGTTTCCAAATTTTGATTAACGATGCAGCTCAAGGTTCCCATTCAAAAATCTGAAAATACCTGGACAAACTCACCCTCATTGAAAATCGCACAGCCTCTTGTGAAAGTCTCATCCAAAGTGACTTAAATAATCTTAAAGTGTGGGTTGATAATAACAGTCTTAAGCTCAATCCTTCGAAATGCCAAGCTCTGCAGGTGTGTTTCAAGAAAACGTCACCACCGTTAAATGTTCTGAAAATTGGTACTGATTCACTGCGTTATGTAAGTTCTGCTAAGGTTCTGGGTATCTGGTTGCAAAATGACTTAAAATGAAACACCCATGTGAACAACATTCTTGTTAAGGCCAATAGGAAACTGTTCATGCTGAGAACATTGAAAAGATTCGGTTTTAATGTTGATGAACTGAAAGCAGTTTATGTTGGTTATTCCTTCTAGTTCTAGAGTACTGTAACGTTGTCTCAAGTCTTACACGTAAACATGTCAGTGACATTGAAATTATACAAAAAAGGGTGTGTAGGGTCATACTGGTAATAAGTACACCTCTTACAGCAATGCGCTCAAGGTCGTTAATATTGACTCGCTAGAAGACAGAAGGATAAACCATTGTACCAAATTTGCTGTCGGGCTCTTGCAAAACATGAGAACAATGTCCCATTGCCTTATGCAAACACATTTTCTTCCTTACCTGCTAGTACGTCATGATTTCAGAGAAGCCCCATACCATATTTTTTTACGCTTTTAAACGAATAACCCTTTTTTGGGAGTTAAGGATTGCGTGTTTGGGACACACACTCCCAGTCCCAGGTGTGTGTTTGCCTGCAGTCGGGGACCCCTAAGGTCCCTCTTTTGTTTGTGCTTTGACTTTTTGGGAAGGCCTCTCGCCTGTTTTGCGCACGTTGCCATGTTAGGGACCTCTGGGAGTTGGGGACCCTGTTGTCCTCTATTGCAAAAACAAAAACAAAACAAAACCCAATGCACTAAAAAATATAAAAATTAAAAAAAAAATCTTAATCTTTTAAAACGTTCATAATGATATAGTGTAATTCATGCTAATTATTGTTGTCAATGTTTTAACAGAAGGTTTTACTTAATGATTTTAATTTTAAATAAATACTGAATTCATATGCAATTTGGCCTTCGGGCCACGATTTGTGGATGAATAAACCGATCTATTTAGCTACAACAGCTAGTGTTCATTATATGAAATTCTACTGTAATAAACATTTGTCCGGTTTTTTTTTTTTATCCACCTCAGTCCCCCCACCATCCCCTGATTCCACTGTGCACACTGACATTTCCAGGTCAGCACTTTGCATAAATTAATTTTACACATTCTCCAGGTGCACCCCAGGTCAGCATTTTGTGAATATCTCCAGGTCAGCATTTTGTGAATATCTCCAGGTCAACATTTTGTGAATATTCCCAGGTCAGCATTTTGTGAATTTTCCCAGGTCTGAAATTTTTAATGTTCTCCTACCCTCCAAGATCCTTGGAGTGCACATGGCCCTCGAAAGTTGGAAGTACAAATATATCCTCCATTATTTTTCCTCATTTTGTGTGAAATTTCAACCCCAGTGCGAACTTGCAGCCCGTCATTGACAAATCTCGCTAATGGACAAATTTCCTGTACCAACTCCAACCGATGGAACAGTGTGTGTACGTTTAGGTGCAACACAGGGTATGGGTTGTCATCTGGTGGAAGCACCTACACAAGAACATGCAGTAACAGTTGGTCGGGAACGTCTCCAACTTGTACAGGTAAAATTCAATGATGTGCTACAGCTGTCCTGAATGTACGGAATACTCATAAATGTTTGATCATCAACCGAATATTCAAATAGCTTTTTGATGGTTTGAATATTTTGAAAACAAAAAACTACGCAGGTACATGTACATGGGCGTCGCGAGGGGGGGGGGGGGGGGCAAGGGGGGGCACTTGCCCCCCCCCCTGGAAAAGCAAAAAAAAAAAAAAAAAGAAAGAAAAGAAAAAAGAAAACAGTGTGTGTACGTTTAGGTGCAACACAGGGTATGGGTTGTCATCTGGTGGAAGCACCTACACAAGAACATGCAGTAACAGTTGGTCGGGAACGTCTCCAACTTGTACAGGTAAAATTCAATGATGTGCTACAGCTGTCCTGAATGTACGGAATACTCATAAATGTTTGATCATCAACCGAATATTCAAATAGCTTTTTGATGGTTTGAATATTTTGAAAACAAAAAACTACGCAGGTACATGTACATGGGCGTCGCGAGGGGGGGGGGGGGCAAGGGGGGGCACTTGCCCCCCCCCCCCCCTGGAAAAGCAAAAAAAAAAAAAAAGAAAGAAAAGGAAGAAAAAAAAGAAAAGAAAAGAAAAGAAAAAGAGGCGCGAAGACAAATTGGTGTAAATTGAATGAGTTTGGGGGGGGGGGGGGCAAAATGTCCCTGCCCCCCTCTAAAACTGATAAATCGAGAATGTGTTGAGAAATACAAGCATTTTTTGGCAAAAAAAAAAAATTGCCCCCCTCTAGAAAAAATCCTGGCGATGCCCATGTACATGTTTGCACTAGACTGTGATACTATTTTATTCTTAAAGGTGTAGTCCATAATTTGTGCATTTTGTTCGTTTGAAGCAACAATACTGCTCAAATTCTAAAGAAGGGTACCGAAGCTTGAATTGCCTTCCGCGATACCGCGTTACCGTGATAATTTATCACAGAAATCCGGAATTCAAAGATAAATCCTTCCTCGATACCGCATTACTGTGATAATTTATCACAGAAATCCTGAATTCAGAGATAATTCCTTCCTCGATACCGCGTTACCGCGATAAATTATCACAGAAATCCGGAATTCAAAGATAATCCCTTCCTCGATACCGTGTTACCGTGATAATTTCTCACAGAATCCGGAATTCAGAGATACCTGTTCCTCGATACTGCGTTACCGTGATAACTTCTCACAGAAATCCGGAATTCAAAGACAAATCGGTAACGAGGTAGGAATTATCTTTGAATTCCGGATTTCTGTGATGATTATCGCGGTAACGCAGTATCAAGGAAGGAATTATCTTTGAATTCCAGATTTCTGTGATAAGTTATCGCGGTAACGCGGTATCGAGGAAGGAATTATCTCTGAATTCAGGATTTCTGATATAAATTATCACGATAACTGGGTATCGAGGAATACGTATCTTTGAATTCTGGATTTTTGTGATAAATTATCACAGTAACACGGTATCCAGGAAGGATTTATCTTTGAATTCCGGATTTCTGTGATAAATTATCACAGTAACGCAGTATCGAGGAAGGATTTATCTTTGAATTCCGGATTTCTGTTATAAATTATCACGGTAACGTGGTATCGCGGAAGGCAATTCAAGCTTCCGTAGAAGGAAGCTGAACAGCTAACCTGATGAAGTTTCAGCTCAGCTTCAGCTGTATATTTCGAGAAAAACAACACTCTAGGATCTCGATTTCAAATCAAAAGTTGCTGAATCATGTTTTGAATTGGGCCTGAATTCAGCGCCCGAGACACGTTCTCACTGAGCTGATTGCAGCTACGCGATGTTGTGCACCGATCCGACGAATTATAGCAACCGCGCGCGTGTGCGTCATGCCATCGCTTGCGCGCACTTTGCCTATTGAAAAAAAACGAACTACTAATGGAAATTTCCAACAGTGCTTCTGAAGATGTACCATTGGAAAGGCCTTTCGTTGATTTCTTCGAAATGACAGCTTGCCAGAAAGAATAATTTCACAGGGAGTTTAGTCCCCTTACTATCTTTCAACCAAGTATGTTTTTCAACAAGAAATACACCAGTTATTTTTGGATAGCTGCAAATGATGGACTCTGGCTTTAAGTTGCAGAGCATTATTGTCAGGTGCCACTTTTTCTTTTTAAGGTAATGATTTTGTCGACGGTGGTTCATTGTTCACATCCTTTTAGTTGGTTAAAGCCCTTAATACAGTTATAAAAATACTTAATGCAAATCTGTCTAGCACCCATATCAATTGCCTCATGTACATTTGAACTGGGGCATTCTCCTTGCAAATTGACAGGCGCATACTAAATTATTCGAAAATGGACAGCCCTATGATGTGCATATGAGATTGATCATGGTTTCAATTGGTTTTTATTGTTACACATTTTTAATGTCAGTTCATTCAATATAGGGGTGCATATTAAAATATATATATTAAAATATGTTTCAAGTTTCCGTCTGAAAGGTGAGATGTTTTCTGTCTCTCTGAGAACTACTGAGAAACAGTTCCAGAGCTGGGGTTCAACATTTAAAAAAGCTCTGTCACCGTAACTGGCAAGGCAAGCTTAGGCAAGTTAAAGCAGTTGGTCAGATAACCTTGAGTCACATCTGACAGTGTGAAGCTCAGAGGCTGTAATAGGTTTGCAGGTAGGTTGGAGCATAAACATGTGATGAAGTTGAATTTGAAGAGAATGATCTGTTAAAAAAAGTATAGCTTTGAAGCAAGCTGAGTTCATCAATGTGTTACGAATCAGTCACAAATTGAAGATTTGAAACAGGTGAGGGCCTGGTCTCAGATGTCTGATAATGGCCCAAGCTGAAGGTCAAGTCCATTATTGGAGATGCATCTATTTAGGTCTGTAATGATTGTTTGATTGACTATTCAGCAACATTTTTCTGTTACATTGTGGCTAATTCCTTTCAGAAGCTGCCAAAGCATGGGCTTCCTAAACAAATGACAAAAAGAAAGCAAACCTCTAATATTCCACAAACGAAACTCTGGGACAAACACAGTGGAGGATGTACATGCTGAAAATAATAACAAGACCAATTATACTCCGACTCTTGAAAGCCTCTCTAAGGTCCCTCTTTCTCTTCTTTTCCCCAGGGAATACAGGTCTAGAGCTTGCAGTCTTTCTTGATGATGTAATGATGGCTGGCAAGGATTTTTTGTCAATAAAATATCAGCCACTTGATTAACTGAAACTGTAACTGAATGATTTAATCGCTTGAATAACAAATGTAAACGTCTGTGCTGCCTAACCTTTTTCAACATCGCCATTGTCTCTTTTAGATAAACGGGCACCAAGAATAACCTGCCCAAGCTCTATCTCTGTCGAAGCAGAGGACAGACTGACCAGTGCTGTGGTCACCTGGGTTGTACCAGTGGCTTCGGATAATGTACCGTCAGGCTTGACAGTTACTCGGACACGAGGCAGAGCCCCAGGCAGTCGCTTCAATCAAGGGTCTCATGCAATACGGTACAGGGCTGCAGATGCTGCAGGCAATAGGCGAGACTGTACTTTCTCTGTAATTGTCAGAGGTATGTACTTGTGTATTCTCAAAGTCAATTTCCTATTCAGTTCTTATGATTGATTGATACCACAATGTGTTAACCTATACTACATTGTATTACATTGTGTTTTTTTTTTCACTGAAAAATCCATTAAACCATATAGTGCTGAGCCAGTTTTGAGTGCTACAGTTAGTAATAGGCAGAGTAGTTTAGCGAGGGTTAAAAGATTAGTCAATTCTCAGAAGAGATTCTACAGAGCTTTAACTAGCAAACATGGCTAACAAAGCCAGCTGATCGGTTTCATGTCTGTGAAGTATATTAACCCTAACTCTACCTAAAGCTACAAAATACTACTAGTAGTAAACTGTAGTATGCAGTACTTCAGCTTATAAGTGGGCACATCAATCCTAGTATTTTCTAGTATTTGGTACCTGCATACGTATTTTCGTAGTACTTATATGTGGTACTTTACCCCAAATGAACTTTTTTGGGGTTAGGGTTAAGGTGGTAAATAATATCACACCTTAACCTCATACAGGTGATTCACTACAAATGTTCATGAGTGAATTGTAAAGCAGATTTCCTTTTCTTTCCTTTTTTTTGTGGCCGGGATATTTGGAGTTGTATATCATTACAGTATCATTACTCCGGACAGATTTGGAATTGATTCCAAAACCATGGGACTCATCCAAATGACTTGACTTGGGTGACTTACTTAAACAACATTTACTACATCCACAGTGATAACATGCACACCAGTCCCTCATAGTGGAAACCACCTGCAGGTCAGCTGTCCCCATAGGCATATCAAGGGGGCTACCTGCACATTTGCATGTGACACTGGGTACCAATTAGTTGGTACTGGGAGCTCTACCTGCCGGACTAGTGGATCATGGAGTGCATCTCAACCAAGCTGTCAAGGTAAATCAGACAACCAAACTGCATTATTAATTGCAATAGGAGTCTGAAATGTAGTACAATTAACCTTACTTGTACATCTGAATTTCTATTTAATCTCTTTAACATTGAGCAGCAGAATAGTGATGTAATCTTGAATGTATATAGAACAGAATAGAATAGAAAATACTTTATTAATCCATCAACAATAAGGAAATTACATTTGCTCACTGGTACAATAAAAAAAAGAATTAGTATTTGGCCTATACAATTAAAGTGATACAATGGAAAACATAAACTAGAACTATGTCTGTTCAATGAACAGAACATCAGCTTTTTTGCAATTTAAAAAAATATATATATATATTTAAGAAATATAGTTGAAAATGCATGAAAAATCGTAAAGTAATTGACCGATTACATGATTATGACGTAACTTCAGATTTTGCATACAAATAACATTATCTTACAAAAAAGGAAATCTTCACAAAGAGATGTTGATAATTACACAAAAAAATAAATATATTTATTAACACTATCTACTAAATACACGGGAATTCAATGAATGGGGAGGTACGTATTTAGCCAATGTGTTTATTAGCCTCTAATTACTTTTCAATATAAAACTATAACCTGAGAGTTTCCTGAAGGTCAGTTCTAAAACAGTTCACTGTTGGTGAGTGTCGGTCCAGTGGCCCACGAAGGGATCGTTGCACTGACAGTGCGGTGGTGGATGATGCTAGTGTGGCGGATCTCGATTTTCTCGAGAAGTGACGGTCTCGAGAACCCTCCAGACGAGCGGCAGTCCAGATGGTCCTAGGGCGATAATCCGTTTGGAGACTGTCTGTCGCCGCACGTAACTAATTTCCCCTTATATTGTTCGAACGATAAATCTACCCAACCAGACAATAAGTGGGACCCAGACACACAAGCTAAAGCTTCAAGAAGTCTCTTTATTCAGCCATGCAACAACTGCAGTTCCTTTACTAAAAATGCCTCAACAAAAGGCAAGTACTTAAAAAGATGAGGGTTTCCTTAAGGGGAAGGGTTTCCTTAAGGAAAGGGGTTTCCTTAAGGGAAGGGATTTCCTGAAGGGAAAGGGAGTTTCTCAAGGAAGGGGGTTTCCTAGGCTCCAGACGACCCTCCGAGGTCTCCCGAAGGCAGATGCCGATCCTCCTGATGAGCTCGACCCTTCGTCTCCCGCGAGGCAGTTGTCATTCCGGATACCTTAGAAATGGGTTCCTCAAGGAAGGGGGTTTCCTTAAGGGAAAGGGAGTTCTTTAAGGGAAGGGGCTTCTTAAGGGAAGGGATTTCCTTAAGGGAAAGGGAGTTTCTCAAGGAAGGGGGTTTCCTAGGCTCCAGACGACCCTCCGAGGTCTCCCGAAGGCAGATGCCGATCCTCCTGATGAGCTCGACCCTTCGTCTCCCGCGAGGCAGTTGTCGATCCCGATACGTTAGGAAATGGGCTCCCAAGGGAAAGGGTTTACTTAAGGGAAGGGGTTTCCGTAAGGGAAAGGGGGTTTCTTAAGGGAATGGATTTACTTTAGGGAAAGGGTTTCCGTAAGGGAAAATAAGTTTCTTAAAGGGAATTAGTTTCCTTAAGGGAACGGATTTCCTTAAGGGAAAGAGACTTTCTTATCGATAGTCAACAGTAAAAGTGCTTCACTAAGATCTGCCAAGTATGTCTTCTAAAGCAAATGGAGAATTCCTGCACAGAGGTGACAAGAATAAACCCAAATATGCTGTCTTCAATCGAACGAGTATTAAGCTTCACTTAATCAAGTAAATCCAAGGATCAATTCCACAATTGCACCACTATTTATAAAAGAAAAGGAGTGTGTAACATTAACAATACAGCAGCTCAACACTCACGGTAAGATTTGCGGTCACTCCCCGACACAACACTCTGTCTGTCTCCACGAGGCTTTTCTTAGACTGCCACTCTACGGCGCGCCAAAACAGTCTGGCCAGAATGCGCGCGAACGCTGCCTTATATACCCCATTCTAAAAATAGCGCAAAAGCTATGGCGGGCAAACGAAACATATAAAAAGTATGGAGCGCCGAATACATTTCGTTACACAGCCCCCCTCTCAAGTTCAGACCGTCCCGGTCTTTAAAACTAATACAACTTCAAAACGAAATGAAGAAGGCGCTCGTCTTATACAATATAAAACAAATGTTTTAACTTTATACAAATATAAGGCGCCTTGACTGCAAAGGCAATCCTTAAGGTCTCCTTAAGGACACTCACTTAAGGCACTAGATAATGAACGATCTATATCAAAAATAAAGTACAAGCCACTCTTCTGGGGTTTACTTAAAGGTAATCGAAAGGTAAATCTTGAATATAAACTTCCTGACCTGAAGGCAAATCTTTCCTCAACGTAAACAGTAATAAAACCTCTCTCCTAGCGACTTCATAAAAATGTAACAAGATGTTCTCATAAAGTAGATAACATTTTAACAATGCAACTTTGTTTTTCTCTTCTTTCTAATAAACACCTTAAAGATCACAACAGGCAATAATAAGGCACAATCTTGAATACAAAATGTTCCTTCTTTACACAGTTACCTACTGCAGTAATATCGCACACATTGATCGTTGGTGACACTTCTTCATATAAGTTTACAAAAATAAAGTCTCTGTTTTCGAAACAAACGCAGGAGCTAACTTGCTCCAGTTATTTCACAAAAGGTAAAGAAAATAAACACAATCAACTTCAAAGTACAAAAAACTACAAGTTATAAAAATATCCTTAATGTGATCAAGTTTCGGCGAACGAGCTATCTTTAATCAAAAACAAAACCGGCTTCGAAGGTCACGTCGTAGATCCTTTCTGTTATTTCTTCTGAGATCTTGACCCCACCATGGAAGATGCTGCGTGTCGAAACTTCTTGCAGTCGCTGCACCCTACCCACCATCATCCTCTCCAAGTCGGTCGTAGAGGCTGGCTTTGCAGTGGCACCAGGGTCACCATCAACTTTATACATCCTTGCAGATGCTGGCTTGGCTTCCAGCTGACGTCTTGACTGCTCAGAACTACTCAGCAGTTTCAGCGTACTTCCCTTCAATACTCGGCCTACATCTACTCGAGTAGAAACATGCTCAGGTGACAGGCTTCCTTCGCTCTCCTGGCTCTTGGACTTACTATTTATCTGTAAGTCGAGGCTGTCCTCACTGTCGCTGCTCGACTCCAATTCTTTCGCAAGCAGTTGTAGCATGCCTCTGGGTTTCCCCCGGACAGGAACACAAGGAACAGCAGGAACCTCGCTGCTTGGGCACTGGTCAATCAGGGAATTTGATGCAGGGGATAGAGATCAAGTGTTCCGGGGTACTTGGATTCTGGTTGATGCCACTTGCCGCTTTCCTTGGAGAATCTTTTGGAGTCGTTGGAGGTGTCTTGTCCTTCCTCCTTGGTGTGTTCTGGCGTTTCTTTGGATCTGGTTGCTCCCGCGGCTCTGACTGCTTCCGCTTAGATCCGGCCTGGGGTACTTGAGTTGGAGTTTTTGATACTTCCCTAGGTGGTCTGGTCTCCGTGTGTGTACCCTTCCTACCCTCTCTCGACTTCAGTGCTGTATCCTGTTTATCCTTACTCATCCTGTGGTGTCTTTCGTCCGTGGTTTCTGCAGGAATGTCCGCCACCTCATCCACGGCTGACGGATGGTGCTCACGGTAGTGGGCTCTTAAGTTGTCCTTCCGAGTGTAATGACGTTCACAAAGATTGCAGAAGAACATTATCTTAGTTTCATGCATCTGCGCATGCTTCTCCAAGCTCTTCTTGTATACAAATGATTCGCCACAAACGTTGCAGCGAAGGATCTTCACCTCGTGCCAGTCTTTTGGCCTGGTAAGACAAAATTGAAACAAAAATATGGCATTTGTTATTATCAAAATGGCGAGTGCAAATCTTTCCCACTACTACCCTTACTCCAGGTATCGTTTGGGGCGCTTACGTTCCCTCTTAGGATTCCTTCTTCCCACCGAACCCATTCCTTGGGGAGCAATATTAAACCCTATCTCCTTCGACTGTCCGTGTGTTTTTAGCCTTTCAGAATGCTGTATGTCTTCCCTATTTTGCTGGTTTTGTGAATTGGCCTTCTTGGCCTTTCCAGACGTAGACCCTTCAGGCAGATCTTGTGTCTCAGCCCATCCAGGTAGGTCCTGCGACTCAGCCCCAATAGGCAGGTCCTGCGACTCAGCCCCTTCAGGCAGGTCCTGCGACTCAGCCCCTTCAGGCAGGTCCAGCGACTCAACCTCTTCGGGAAGGTCCAGCGACTCAGCCTCTTCGGGATGGTCCAGCGACTCAGCCCTTCCAGGCCATGCACGTTTCCAGGGATCTAGTGGTTTCCCCTTGTATGGTTTCAATCTGTCACAGTGGATGACTTCAGTTTTTCCTCCACGCCGCTTTTGAATCCGGAACGTTACATCTGAAAGTTTGTCTTGAATCAGATATGGGCCTTCCCACCGACATTGTAGTTTGGGCGAGATTCCCTTCTTCTTTGCAGGGTTATACTTCCAGGCAAACTGGCCTGGCAAGTACACCTCCTTGCACGTCCTCCTGTTGTAATTAAGTTTCTGTCTTCTAGCGCTTTTTCCAAGCTGTTCCCGAGCTCTGTCATGTGACGCTTGGATCCTCTGCCTCATTTCCATCGGATAGTCTAGGTACGCTCCATCACTCGCCTCCCCATTGAGTGGAGGTTGTTCCGTAGTGAGATCTATCGGCAAATGTACTTCGCGGCCAAACATCATCATGTTTGGGCTTTCTCCTGTCGATTCCTGCGGGGTAGTCCTGTAAGCCATGGTGGCGAAAGGCAGTCCCCGGTCCCAATCCCTTGAGTCACCAATTGCCTTCATGTGTGTGGCAACTATATTGACCAATGTACGGTTGAACCGTTCTACTAATCCGTCACTCTTCGGGTTATATGGTGTTGTCCGAGTTTTATCAATCCCCAAGATCTCACACACCTTAGCGATCAGCCTAGATTCGAAATTCCTTCCCTGGTCGGTATGCAGGGTTTGGGG